CTCCCGCCCGGGAAGAGGCGCACCTGATGTCCCGGCTCGCGAAAAATGAGCCGCGGGGAGGCGGACGCGCGAGCGAGAGCCGGGGAAAGGGTTGGGGGCGGCGGCGCCAAGAAATTGAGAAATATATCTCTTCTGCTTCGGCCATAAATATTGTAATGAGCGAAGGGGTGTGGACGTACTGCGGGAGCAGCAGCAGGGTCGCGGCGGCGGTGTGGTGGTCTGCGGCCGCAGTGTTGGACCCCACCGCCGCTTCCTCTTCTTCCTCGCGCGCATCCCTTCCTTTCTTTTCTCTGGTAGTGTCTCTCGCTCTTTTCTTTTCCCCGGCGGAGGCACCCCGAATCCCAGCGATGATGATTACAGTTTCAGTTTAACGATTTGGGATTCGAGAGCGCGCCACGATGAGAATGGCTCATCTCTCATCTCTCTTTGCATTCCGATGGTCGCGAGGGGGGTCCGCGCGGGGGTGGCGCGGAGAGCGAGAGTGGCCGGCCCGGGGTGTGGGGGATGGAGGGAGGGAGGCTTCCGATCCGACCAACTGTATTAGAAATTGTGAAAACATTTCTCTCGTTCGACGCGGCTTTAATTTCGCCGATTTGGACTAGGACGGACGGGAGCAGCCCCGTGGCGGGCCCCGGGCCGGGCGGACAGGAGTCCCGCCCGCGCACTTCAACGCCCTTTTACTCTAACCACTCAACATTAAATACTTTCGGAATGAAAGTAAAGAAGGGAGGGAAAAAAAGAGAGAGGAAAACTCGTGGATCTTCTGCTTTGAAAAGCTCCTAAGCACCGGGCCCGCGCCACTCACCCTCGTCCCTCACCCTCCCTCTCACGTCTCTTGCCTCTCTCCCTCTCACTCTCGCACCCGCCTGCACGACCCTCGCCCTCACCCCGTCTCCCTCTCCGTCTGGCGCGCGGCCTTCCCTACCTCCTCTCCCCTCTTCCTCTCTCTCTTTTCCTCTCTCTCGCTCTCGCCGTCACGCCCCTTCGGAATAAAAGCTGAGAAGCGGCAATCGCTCGAAATGAGTTTTTTCTCCGAGGCCTTCCCTCTCCCGTCCCCCTCCGTCTCATCTCCCTTCTCCTTCGCTTCTGCCCCGCTTGCGTGCTTGTCGCGAAAAAGTAACGTTTGGGTACTATAATTGCTACTCCGACCCGCAACCCGGCGGCGATGAAAGATCGATTTGATAATAGCGAAACACATCAATCAGATCAGCGGCCGATAAAAGTTTTTAATATATTTTCGCCCAAATGAAAAAAAAGGAGTACGACCGATGTAGCATAGGAAGAAAAAGAATGGAGTTCCGGTGCTGCTGTCTGCAGCCTTTCGACCCTTTGCCTTTTTGACTTTGACCCACATTTGCGTACACAGCTCTCGAAACTTTCCTCATTCATCGCCCCTTCGATCTATTTTCGTTGTTGGACCACACAATTTTTTTATTATTTTTTTTTTGTGAGCTTGCGTCGTTTAATTTTTGAAGTTAGATGACTGTCTAAAATTTCGATTTTAGTCGCTGTTAGCAACAGCTTCAGAAATATATTACGGAACATTCGGCCAATGATTGGTCACGACCGCGCGGCCCGCGGTTGGTCTGCCCCGCGAGAGGTCCCGCGGCCGCGCCGCTTTCATAAATCTCGCCCTAATCTAGTTAAAATAATAACGCCGGCAATGCATTACGTTCAAAATACGCCTTGTCGTAAATAGGTTTCGTGCACTTCGTGCTTGTCGTCGTAAAGGCGCGCGCGGAAACAATTTTCCGCAAGTTTGCGAATATGGCTCCCAGAGCTTTATGCCTCCCCGGTCCGTATAAACCTCCTCTGCCCCGTCTGCTCCCCTGTCTACCTCGAGCTCCTCCAGTGCGACTCGACTACTCTGGCGAGGTGCTTGCTCCTTGCTCCCTTCTATCTCTGTGCATTTTGTGTGAACCCCAGAATGAGTTCCCGCTCCTTCTGTTCCATGTGGCGTCCCACCAACTGGTCTCTCCGTGGCTGGCCCAGATCTTCATGCACAAGAGCGCCATGCAGCTCGCGGGCCGCGACCTGGGGCGCGGCGACATCAAGCCCCACCAGTGCCAGCAGTGCCTCAAGAGCTTCTCCTCCAACCACCAGCTGGTGCAGCACATCCGCGTCCACACGGGCGAGAAGCCCTACAAGTGCTCGTACTGCGAGCGCCGCTTCAAGCAGCTCTCCCACGTGCAGCAGCACACCAGACTGCACACGGGTGAGTACCGGGTTGCTTTTGGCGACCATAACCTCCTCCTCCTCCTCCTCCGCAGAGAGGGTAAGCTCTGGGTCAGCTGTAGTGCGTGGCTGGGTGGACGACTGTGTCTGTTTGTTAGCCGTTCCTGGTGAGCGGTTCCGGCTTCGGTTCCGGTCCCTCGGCTCGTCTCGGCTCTGGCGGGGCCGGAGCTCGCATCCGCGGCTCGGCTGAGCGGCGGCGACGGTTCGGCTCGGCTCGTCCGCTGCGCGCGGCACGCTGGCGCGTGCGGTAGCGAGCGACTCCTCCAGAGGGGTGCTGGCCGACAAGAAGAGGGCCTAGCTCCTCCACCACCACGCTGTCCATGCACCTCGGCGATCCCCCTTTTCTGGTCGGGCGGCCGCTTGCGGCCAACGAGTGCTGGTTCTTGTTCCACCCCCATACCTCTGGTAAAGCCGTCCTCTGGCACGGGTTTCTAAATTCGCACGTATTGGGTATGACGTATTTTATTATTTAGTTAGTTTTTGCTATTCTACCTGGGCTCAAAATTCCCCACCTCTACTTCAAATGAAAATCATCAAAATAAATACATCAGGTGGGCTCCTCCTCCTCCTCGCAAGAAGGAGGACGCGGCTGCTGTAACGTGGTCCTCCTCTTCTAAACCGATTTGTGGATGTTCTTGTTTTGTTGTGGTGGTGCTGCTGCGCCCGCCCCGCCGCCCGCCCGCCCG